AGCAGATTGTGTCGCGAAACTTAAGAGTATTTGTTATAAAATAAATAGTATACTTATTGCGAAATGAATAATATTGTATACATTGTGAAATATGAATAATTATGAAACCAAATTAATGTATTTACCGTATAAGCGCGAAATAACGCGCAGGGGCGTTATTTTGAATAACGGCCCGAATTAGGCTTAACTTAGGCCAAATTTTGAAATCACACCCCTGCGCGTTATTTCGCGTTTATACGGTATGACTATAATTCGCGCCTTTAGAAAGTAGTGACTAATCTAAGGATTGGAATCGGCTTAATCGACTAAAAAAAATTTACAGTAAGCTACTATATTTGGTCGACTAATTAGTCGACTAAACCGATTCCAATCCCTAGTAGAGGTTGAAACCGGTTTTAAATATTCGAGTTTATCAAATCAAAATTCGAGTTTATCACACCAAAATTCGAATTTATTAAAAGTTCATGTGATAAACTCGAATTTTGGTGTGAGATAAACTCGAATATTTAAAACCGGTTCCAACCTCTAATCCCTAGACTAATCTTTTGAAAAGCTTCGCGAGTAATAAAATTTTATCCGGGCATAGCCGATACTTTACCCTGAGATGATCTGCATTTTAGATGTTTTAAACCTTTTTATAAAACTTTTTAAAACATTGATGCTGAGACTAAAATTTAAATTTTATACTAAAATGCCGATTCACCAAATTTCATAAAGATAACTTTTAAAGAAAAATATTCACTTTATAAACTTTGCATATTATTTAAGTACAAGAAATGCGCAATTGCTTAAATATTTATATAATTTTTTTTCTTTTTTTTTTTGTACGCTTCTTTAACTATAAATTTAATTATCGTCATCTTTGAACCAACCATCAATCTCAGTTCCTTTTTAAATTCTTAAATTCTGATAGACTGCAACAAGTTTTTTTATCCGTTCATTATTTAATAAATTTTTCATACTTTCTGGAAGCTTTTTGCATCTATATAAGTGATCCTTTTATCAAGCGACTAAATCCACAAAATCCTCTCTACAGTAGTTCACTTTTGGCGATGCGCAGTTTCTATAACTTTTGTAAAGTTCAAGCGAATTTCTTTTAATGGAGGCCTTCCATAGAGCATGATTGTTTATAATTTTATATTATAAAAAAAGAAGAGATAACAATAAAGTTGTATTTTGACTCTACCTTTGGGCTGACCACATTGTACTTCCAACTATCTAACACCCACATGTAGTCAATTCTTGACTCATTGTTTTCGTTTGACCATGTAGGTATTTGTGTAGCTTCATATACGTCAAAGAGATTTTTCTCCTTAAGCAGGGCCAAAATTTTCCTCTTTGTTTGATGTTTGCATTTGAATCAGAGGAGCTTGTGGTTGTCAAATTCGCTGTGTTGGTATTTAAATATCCCATGATTAGGAGACGTTTCGATTTTCTGCTTGGTCTTTCTAATGTATCCTTTAAGAAATTAAGAATCTCTTCTTGTCTTGTTGTATTGTTTGGAGTGATGTATAGAAAGATTATCTCTATCATGAGACATTTGAAATCTAGAACCAACTTTATGTAGTAAGGATTGTCTCAGGTCAGGTGAGTGATGTGGTGCTTCCAATGCTTGTTAATTAAAACCCCAACACCTGATCTTTTTTTCTTGTTTTCTTCTAAGCTTGCCCAAAACTTTTATATTTGTCTACATTCTTGGTTGCTCATTTGCCCTCAATGTCCTCTATATTAGTTTCACCTAACCCTAAAATATCTATCTTTTTCTCTTCTGCATATTCTATTATTGCTTTTAATTTATTTTTGTTATCCTTAATGCCGTTTATATTATGAACCCAATATTTAATAAACCAAACTGATCCTCTGTTGGTTCGTAGTAAATTCTGAAAAGGAGGTAACAGAATTTGGAAGTGTTATAGATTCGTTGATCCATTGTTTTCATTAATTTATTTTTTTTATTTCTATTTGTAAAAACAACAATTGCTAAATGATAAAGACATTTGAAGTGCAATCAATATTTTTAATTAATTATAATTCTAATTAATAATGTCATAATGGTTAAGCACTGTTTTAATCAATAGCAAACAATTACAATAAATACAATAAATGGCTTTTTAACCACAATTGTTCAAGATAAAATTTAGCATGCTAGGGGTGCATTGATTTGCATAGAACTAAGAAATTTTTACTGGATTTTTGCACTGAACAAAGACTATTAGGACAATGTGCTATTAATGTACGTACTTGGCAAGCTAATTAACGTAAGTGTTACTTAATAGTCACATAAATTTCATAAGACTTATTCAACTCTTAAAGACTCTGCATATAAGATTTTTCGCACGTGATAATCAATGCATTTCATATTCGCGACAAGCTTTATTATGACACTAGAAAGTAAAAATTTTTGTTGGAACATAAATTCTTATAGCTAATTTTAATATGGACAGATTTTTTTACATTATTCCTGATTATACTGAATCATAATTGAATAATTGGTTAATTATTTTGTTTTTGACTCTATTCAAGTTGGACCTCTGGAAATGCTGGTTCAATAATTAATATTAGTGTAATTCTACTTAAGAATAATTAGGCTGCTTAAATTAATTTTCATATTGAATTAGCCACATATCTGGTCAGGTGGTCAGCACTTCGGGGCCCTGGTTATTTCTCTCCACTCATCAGTTAGCTTTTATATGCAAGCCAGATCAAGCTGACAGCATCTCTACTCATAAATTAATACTTATTGTTTCCCGTTTTACTAATTATAAGTTCTGGGTCTTCACTTATATTTTAGAAATAACTTTTAATTCAAGCTCTGTAAAGAAATAACATTCAGCTGACAATTAGTAAAACAAGAGAATAACGTCTTTATTCCTCGCTTTGTAGAATAAATAATATTTAGTTTAGTCATTGCTTAACAATTAATACGTAATGAATTAATTTAGTGAATTAAAAATTAACAATGATAAATAAAATTAATGATATTACCCTTCTTAGAGACGTCTGCTGTACTTAATATTATATAAGTATTCCAATCCTTTAAAAGTTATAAAAGGAATGGTTTAGTTGTTAAAAAAAAAACTAAAAGGTAATAAATTTATAACATAACTTTGATTTAGCCCTAATATGTCTGATTACACCACCTCTGAAGAAGAATTTGACCCTAATAATGATATTATTCCCAAAGAGGAAGTTGATTCATCTAATATTATTCTTGAAGAGGAGGTTGATTCATCTGATAATATTAATGAGGAAAATGCCACTACCATGTTGCCATTACAAGAAGTCTTATTAGATAGTTTTAATGTAAATTGTAGTAAAAACAAAACGTCACCTGTATGGAACTTTATGAGTAAGCAAAAAGAAGGAAATAAGGTTATTGCAAGAATATGTGGAAGATGCGGTCAAAAATTTAGCCCTACTAGAATTTTGGGTAACCATCTTAGCAATAAGCATGGTTTAGAAATTACCCTAAAAAGAAATAACTTGATCCAAAGACCATATGGTAAAGAAGATACTTGGCATAAAAAAGAGTGCTTTGATGCCATTTTGAATCTTGTTGTTTGCTGTCAGCTCCCATTCGCAATAATTGAAAATACCTGGTTTCAACAAATGGTAAACACATTTGACCCAATATATAAGCTTCCATTGTGCCAGTATATAAAGAAAGAGATAATAAATCAGTTTAAAATTCGGTATGATCTTGTTGCTAGAGAACTCAGAAGTCTTATCACCAAGGTTGTGCTTACAGCAGACATCTAGACATTAATTTCCAACCAATCCTATCTTGGTGTAACTATTCATTATATTGATAACAAGTGGCAAATGCATTGATTGTTACTAGACCTTATCATTTCAAGCATAATCATACTGCAATATTTACAAAAGAAAAGCTCTATAGACTCTGCGATACTATAAATATTAGTGATAAAGTAATCGCACTTACTACTGATAACCACTCTGCAATGGTACTTTGTGGAAGTCTAATTGAGCAAGAATGGAATTTACAAAGGTTTTGCCATCATCGCTGTTCAGCCCATGCCCTTAATCTAGCTGTAGATTATGGAATATAGCTTAAAACCTCGGTAATTGTAAAAGTTAGAAATTTTGTAAATAAAATTAGACACTCAACTGTTTTATGTGATGCTCTTCATCAATTTTGTACTATGAACCAAAAAAGTTATATTAAACTAACTTCTGATATAAGCACACGCTGGAATAGTACCTATAACATGCTTTATAGGTTCAAAATAATGCATAATGAGTTAAATTTAGTTGTAACTGCACATAAAAAATAGCTAGAAAACGATTATCCTAATAATAAGGAATAGGAGGTCATAGATAACATGGTTGAATTGTTAGAACCTATGCTTGCCACAACAGAATTACTATTCTCAAGCTCATATCCAACTATTTTCGATATCCGCTTAATTTTTTTGGGACTTCTTTATTATCTTGGTAACTTTTTAAATAACAAATCCCAAATGGTAGAGTGGTATATAATAGCAGATTCTATTAGGTCTAAGCTAAATGAATATTGGTCTTTGTTTGAAGAATCAACTACAATTGCCACAATTCTTGACCCCTCATCTAAGCTTTTGACTTTTCTCGCCGGTGATGAAAAGATACTGCTGTTACTAGTCTACGAAATACCATGACTCAGTATAAATCACAAGTCCCAGCAACAACTATGACTAGTTCCACTCCTAAATTGGCATCTAAGAATAAAAGAAAGTTTTTCGAGTCATTATTAATACAGCAACAAACAATTGAACAACCATTGATGGAGGAATTAGATCACTATTTATCCATGCCAATGACTAATAAAAATAATTCTCTCTTATGGTGGGCTGAAAATGAGCACAAGCTTCCAATGCTTGCAAAAATAGCACGAGACTTTCTTTTGATCCAAGGAACGAATGTTCCATGTGAGGAGGCCTTCTCAACTGCAGCAGGAACAATCACAAAAGTTCATAACCGCCTTGATCCTCAAACTGCTCGTGTGTCACTTTGTCTAAAGAGTTGGATTGAACAAGGTGTTGGTATATTAAACTGAAAAATAAATAAGGGTTAATAATTGAGAATGAAGAGATTTTTTTTTTCTACGTAGTATGTATCATCTTAGCTATTATAGACGGTATATATAATTTTTTTTTTCTAAGTAGTATTATCTTAGCTATTATAGACGGTATATATATATATATATATATTCGCATTATGTAGATGGTAAATATAAACGTTATACGTATATTTTATATAGTATTTCAGTATTTAGCGTTAGAATTCATTGTACTACTACAGTACTACACTGTGTTAATAGTTACACTGCATAAATAATGAATTCAGATGTTAGTGAATCAACGGTTCGAAGAACAGGTTAGATAGCATAAATTACAATAAACTGACCTTATCATTCAAGTACTGACTACTGTATATCACATATGAGATATGCTTGAAAATATCAAAATTAGTATTTCTAGTAAACATGACTTAAATATATTTCTTAAAAAGAAATGAATTAGATTTTTCAATAGTAAAGTTTGATAAGATAAAAATTTCATATCCAAAATAATGATAACTTTCAAAGTCTTAAATAATATATATTAAAAGTTTGGCAATAACTCACAATTAAATACGAATATGTTAACTAGTACTAATAATATATGCTAATATAAACAGTTCTTAAAAAAAAAGAATAGTAACGTTCTCTAATTATACTTTTAAACCTAAATTTTATAAACTTTGTTAATCATATAGTATATTCGAAATTACCATAATCTATATATGCTTTACTAATAGAGTAGTTTACTTATATTAGTTTGGTATAGAGTAAGTTAACAATTATAATCTTTATTATGCGGCAGTACGCTTGATTTTGGGCCATCAAATAGTTGCTAGTTTAAGTTTTCTTATCCTATTGATATTTATTTCAGTCATAATAGCACACAAGTATAAAGGACTTGAATTTTACAAAGGAAAGATTCGAAAACATCCAGAAGATCTTGAAGAATTCAATTCATAATAGAAATAAAAAATTCGCAGAAATTTAGAACGGTCAATGAAACATATAGTAGAAAGTGCATATATTAAGAATTGCTTAACATAGCAGAAGTTGGCTAAAATTTGAATAAATATGATTGGCGATGATCATTTATTTATACAATCAATTGTAAATTTTAAAATACTTCTATTAGTAAAAATCGTCATGCCATATTAAATTTTTTTTTGTAATACGTAAAGAAACAGCAACCTATTTTTCACCTTTAAACCTATAGTTTTTTAATGAGAGATACAGTAAGATATGGAAGTTCAAGAAACTAAATGAGAAGTGAATATTTTGAAAAGTTGGGAAGGTGGTTCGGTGATTTAAGCAACTAGTAAGTGAAATTGTGAGATTCTGCTTCAACTAGTTTGTTTGTGTTTTTTACAAGTGAAAGCATTATTTTGAACTATTATTCTAAACCGTATTTTAATATTTTTTTATTATAATTTATTTAGATACAAGTATAGTTTGTGAATATGACGTTTATAATACAATAAGTTGTAGTAATGGTAGTGTTAGGAATAGTCGTGTACGCATTATTTAGTAGACATTTATATGTATTTATTGCAAAAAAAAACAACAAAACCCTTGCAAAACCCAAATTAAAGTTGTTAATACAAAACTGAATTAGTATATTGTAAAATTATAATATGTCTTTAAAGTGTATTGACTGATTTTTTAAAAGTTCACAAGTTATAAAATTTTTGTCTGGGATTAGCCGGTACTCTATTCGGGGTATGATCGATATTTTTCCGGAGTATCTTAACAACCAATCAAAACGAACTTCTGCTATGCTGAATTGCTTATATCAAATTTTATAAGCCACAGTTTTTGGTCATGGCTTAAACTGTGGCTCAAGCCATGGTTTAAAGCTATGGCCTTATGATATTTTAATGATGTAATATTGATATTTTAAGCCGGCTAGCCTGGTTTTAAATGGCTTGGCTGCAAAACCATAGCTGAGCCGGCTTTAACCAAGCCGTTAACATCCCTAATAATAAGTATTATATTATTATGTTCTCATACTCACTCGCTAGTAATATTATATAGATGATAAACTCTTATGAATTGTGGATTTATATAATATATAGAGTGCTGCACAGTTAAAACATGCAATTCTTAATTTTCAGTAATTTCACTTTACAATTCAAGAATTGCATGTTTTAGCTGTGCGACACTCATATTGTTAATAAATAAATTTCTTTATACTCACTGACTAATTACAGATAAAATAGTTTGAAAGGTATTAATCCTTTATGGACTGCTGATTTTAAATATATTAATAAATTGTACTCACGAGCTAGCAATTTGAATAATATAGTAGCATTAACTTGTCAATAATAATCCTTTTGAGTCTTATGGTTTACTTTATACGACTAAATAAGTGTTGACAATTGGACTAATTGGACATAAAAGTATTATTGGACTTTATTAGAAATATAGGTGTGAGTCAGTAAAAACGCACCATATTTTTTTTTAATGAAATTTTTTTTAAATCTTAAACAAAATAACAGCAAACTTAACCAAATTTAGTAAACTTTTTTTAAATAAATTCTACAAGCTTTTAGAATTGATTTAAAAAATTTATTAAATTTGATTAGTTGTTGTTGAATTATTCTTGCTTAAAGTTTTAAAAAAATTTACTTAAAAAATATGGTATGCTCAATTCGGGTTTGGGTTAAAATCCTGATAAACGTCAAAATCCCGAAAAAGGTAGCCAGGATTAGCTTAATATTGGCCAATTTTTTAGAAATTTCGGCCCTGTTGGAATTTTTATTTTTGGAATTTTGACCCAAACCCGCCAAATTCCAGTTAAGCATGTGTCCGATTCCAATTAAAAAAATATGATATTTGGACATAATAACGTGACAACACTGTACTATATGGTCAGACGAGTGATTTACTGTTACGTACGTACGAGTCTACAGACTCGCACCGAATATCATGTGATATTTGACATACGTAAATCTTCCCCAGCATCGCCACCAATTTTTTTCGATCACGTGATCGTACAAAAATCGTTAAGTTCGTTTAGATTAGGG